CCATGCGTTGAATAGAGAGAAGCGCAGTTTCCAAGCGGTAGTGGAAAGCCAGTACGGGCTGATTGAGGAATAGCAGGCCCTGAAAGCCCCAGACTTGAACTGCGGCGAAGAGCAGAACTGATAGTCGCAGGCACTCCTGCAAGTCAGAGGGCATGCAGACTGGGGCGATCAACAACAACTGTTGGGCTGTGTAGACCAACCAGTCGTTGAGTACAGGAGCTTCCTCCACGGGTCCAGTAGTACACATGTAGTGCGTGGTTTTTCGGAACAGCTTAATGATAGATCGCAAACTAGGGAAGATTGCTTGTGACCACGGTGAGTTGAAGAAGCGGAAGCCGATTGAAGAAGCGTGCAGGGCCTCGTCGGTCGCAGTGAGGCTATACAGGCTTTCAAGTACTCTGGCTTTCCAAGCCATGGTTATCGGCAAGGGCGGTGCCGAGCCCCTGGCAGCTGCGCTCATAAAATTGGCACTGGAGAGGGACGAACCACACTGGTTAATGGATAGTACTTTTGATGTGGGTAGTATATTCGTGGGTCAACCCACCTGTAGATAATGGGAGCGTCTGCGTCACTGAACGTATCAAGGCCGCCCACCAGATGAACTATCTTGATCAGCCCTCGCACATGGCCGTCTACGGCTTCCAAATTGGTATCTGCGGCCTAAGTGACGAAGAGCGGATCATTGTCTAGTTCATTCTCTCATTGCGATGTGTGCTAGGTAAGATGAATCAAGATGAGATTGAGGGAGAAAAGAAACGAACCTCTACGCAGATCAAATGGGCAATGATCACGGCCATAGACCGAAGAAAACTCGTGCTCGTGCCTGGAGTCTGCATCATGCTCTGGAGTCCGGTAAGAGTCTTTTGCCGGTACTCCAGGGAGGCCCGGTAGGAATCTCGGGCGGTCTTGGGGGCCTGCGCAATGAAACCCCGGCCCGCTCGGTGGGAGGCACTGGTTGCCAGGATGATGTACAAGAGGGCCGGCTGCTCGATTGACTGCTGCCACCACCACATGCTTACGCCAGTCGCTCCGAAGGGATAAATCGACCAGGAACATTCGGTCCGGTCTGGAAGGAATGATCAGAGAGGTCACTGGCGCTACTGCGACCGGACGAGGTGAGATTAGATACTAGCACTACTCACAGTGGTCAAAGTAAAAGTCCACACTGGTCTTGGCAGGCACGCAGAGCGAAGCAAAGGGATCAATCCCAGCGGGCCGCAACGCTCGGTCGAAGGAGCTGGATCCTCCCTCGTATGGTTCTATTGGGGATGTGGTATATCTCGGGTTTGGCGGAAGGATTAATGGGTTGGCCCGCTGGGTCGGCAGCGGGCCGATGGAAGCTTTCAGCTTTTGCAGTCGTTGTTCCTTTTTGGATTGATGATGCATCTTCTTGATGAAGGCCTGCTTCTTCTTGGCTAATGTTGGGCCCTGAGATGCCTGGTCCTGGTAATCGACAAACAAGAAGCTAGCGGGTTGTCTTCGGGGTTCATCATGACGACTATCGGATCGATGATCGGGGAATCCTGGCGGGCCAAGCCCTGAGCACGCGGTTCCTGCGTTCGTATCCATTGCTTGGGCTGAAGTAGGTATCGCAACTTGGAGGGATTCTAGCAATGTGCGTCATGACTTCTGGCTAAGCTGACAAGTCAGTTAGTCCTTGATAGTGCACACACTAGTCGCGTCCACGTGATTACAGCCTTGGGGCCAGTCCTCAGCTGTCACGTAATTAGTATAATTAAAATCATATTGATCAGTTTGTCCGTCACTCATTATCCCGGACAGTGATAGAATATTCACGCTGTGGAGATGATTATGTCTTCACGGTGATCAGCAACGGTGATGGAGATGTCGCGATAGGGGGATGAACTGCCTTTGACACGACGTAGGTACCTGTGAGAGTTCATTGTTGCCAAAGGGACCAATGCATTCAATGAGTAAGATGGACCTGCAGCGGTCCAACTTCACCCACGTGGGTTGGCTTCACTATCGTTAGCTAAGTAGGGTTGAGGCAATCCCGCACGTGGGAGATTGTCGCAACTGAGTGGAAGCCGACCGTCGGCAAAAAGCAGGTGTCTTCGCATACCAAATTCAATTGCACGACACCGGAGGAAGACCAGCATGGGACTACGAGAAAGTGATGAAAACAGAGTATTTATACCTGATTGGACTCCCCATTACCTGGAGTCACGATGTCCAGCATCTATGAAGGGTTCCTTGACATGATCTCCACGTTGATCTCCTTGCTGCTCTCCGCAGGCAATCCCGCCCTCGCGGCCCGTGACACCTTCTACCCTCCCCTCAACCACACCACCTACATCACCAATGCCTCCGTCGGCACTTATGGTGGCATCTACAATGCTCCAGCAGATAAGGCCAGTACTCCAACTGCCCAGAATGTCTACAACTACTGTTCCATGCCCCATCCCCGTGCGGAGACCTACTCGCTTCCGTCTCCCGTCGCCAACCAGTCCGTCGCTGCCCGCCTAGTTTACCTCGAATACGTGCAGCGACATCAACGCCGCACCCCCTACAACATTCTTCCGGGCGGCGAGGTATGAGACCAACTCTTTGTATCTGATTGGGCTAGCTAACGTTGTTCTAGAACCAAGAATATCATTGCAACAACCTCCAAGCTCATCTCTTCGTCTCTCCGGCCTCCCAGGGTCCCGCTCCAATCCCCGTGTACGGCCAAACGTATTCCGATCCCTCCAATCCATTCTTGGAAAACTTTGCCAATGGATCGTGTCAGTATCCTCAATTGACGATTGGGGGCTTTCTCGATGGCTATCAGCACGGTCGCGACCTCGCTGCCGTGTATCGGGATCAACTGCAGCTAATCCCATCGTCACCGGGCGAGGACAATGGCAAGAAGATCTGGCTCCGTTCGAGTACCTCGGCCCTCACCCAAGAATCCGCCGGTGGGGTCTTGCGAGGAATTTGGCCCGATTACAATGCACCCCTGCCGCTACACCAGCAGGCTTCCGGGGTCGACACGGTCGACCAAGGATACTCCTGTTCCGCTCGCAGCGAGGTGCTCTCCGCCATTGAATCCACGGCAGAGTGGAACGAGCATCTGACAGTGACCCAGTCGCTCCGCAGTCAGCTGGCAACCATGTTCGACGCTGATACCTCCAGCTGGATGTCGACCTTTGACCATTTCTCGGATAATTTCCAGGCCCGCCTCTGCAATGGCTATGAGTTACCCTGCAGCCTGCAAAGTGAGACTCAATGTGCTACTTTCAGCCAGGCAGAGGAAGTGTTCCGTGCGGGCGACTGGGAATGGAACTACTGGTGGCGAAACAACGCGAACGCGACTCAGTACATCCAAATGGTCGAAGGTCTGTTCATCGGAGAGATTGTTCGCCATCTTGAAGCGGTGCAGCAAGGGACATCCGAGTTGGTGTATAGCCACAATTTCGTCCATGACGGAGATATCGGACCCATCCTTGGCGCGTTAGGCATCACAGCCTTGCGGTGGCCGGGTATGGGATCGAACATTGCATTTGAAGTCTGGTACGTAATGATCCATGCGACAAGTACGCCTAAGAAAATCCAGTGTGGTACTCACATTGCTACAGGGAAACATCAGACGAAGAATATTACGCTCGCGTATTGTACAGCGGACACGCGATCGAGACAATTTACGGCACATTGGATTGGATACCTCTGTCATCCTTGATACGTATTCTTCAGCCGTATATTCCAGACGACATTATCACCATGTGTCAGTCTAGCTGAGATCAAGGGATTAAGTCTACATGGATTTCTGCGCTGGATGGATCCTTCAGACAAAACACCCGAAACAATCAGTCCTGGCAGCAATAGCAATAGACGCCATCTGAGCAACACTGGGGGAATTCTCCATGACAGCAGACAGCTCGAGAGCAAGGCGACGAGCAGACATAGCAGGCTAAACGATTCTCAGTACATCTGTATCTTTGTGACCGGGTAGGCGTGTAGAACATACAGTCAGCGGTGTCACCAAGCACCTTCTGCGCTGAGGCGATAGAATCGAGCATCGGTTCTTGCTTGGTGCTTGTCATCTCAGCTATTCAAAAGTTAGCTAAAGTCTCGTCATTTGGAAACAATACTACCAGGTTGGTAGTTAAATTTAGAGATTTGTACTACCTATTGTTCGGTCATGACGTGCGTCCACTGCCAGCAGGCTTAGCCCCAGCGTCCAAATATATATTGTTGCCTTCATCATTTGCTCTTCAGTTGTAAGTAGTACGAATTCAGCCAGTTTGTGGTTGATCCATCATGGATCAAAATTCTGCGAGTCTCATTTTCTATACTATATATCCTGTCGTTGCAGTCAGCTGCAGCCATCACTCGACACTGCAGATATCTTGGCTGCATATCTCCCATCACCTGGTACGAAGGGGGTGCACTGCCTCAGGCATCCACATGTCACCTGCTGCCGAGCCCTGGAAAGAATTCCCCGAAAACCTTCCATTTTCCATCGGGAATCTCTCCCCATCAAATCAACCGCCTCACTATGATTATTAGTCTCCACCATCGGCAAGTCGGGTCCAACTGCCTCCGATGCAGCCTGCATAACTGACATGCCGTTAGTCCACCCGCCTGTCACAACGCATAACTCCATACAGCCATTAGGGTCCAGACAGCTGGACAATGTACGGTGCCTACGTCACGACTACACCCACGGACCAAACAAGCTGAAAGGCTACGAACAGGCACACGTACCGCGTACTTTTTTCTTCTGCAAGGCTGTTGGAAGCTTTGCGGGCCATCCGATCTCGATTCGTCTCTATGATTGGCCCTGATAACTGTTATCGATGCCCCAACCGGACGGAATCCTGGTCAGGGCCGCAACATTATTACTATTGCTTAGAAATGCGCCTCCGCTCATCCCGAGCTTGGGTCCCCTTATCACATCATTTCCCCGTCGCTGTCGATGCCCAAACAACAGATATGGGTCTGCGGGGGGAATTCGTTCTCTCTTTTAGACACAATCTGTAGACTACTCGATACACAATATGACAGCCCAGGAACGTCCAGAAGGAGTCCCGGAAGAGACTACGCCTCTTTTGGGGGAATCTTCCAACAATGGGGAAGATTTGGCGCGAATTCATGTTTCTCGATGGAGGGGATCGGCGATAGTGGCCGCCATGGGATTGTTGCTGTTCATCATGAGTATGGGAGCTCCTTTGTGATCCAGATGCATCAAGCTGACATCTATCAGCAACCAATATGTCAATGATGACTACTGCGCAATCTGAGATTGCGGCTGACCTGGATGCTTTTTCTGAAACAACATGGTTCAACTCGGCTTTCTTGGTACATAGCCATCTATCAAGCCATATGTAGTGGATCCACATGCTAATGCCATTATCACTAGATTGCCATGTCCAGCCTCACACCTCTCTCCGGTCGACTCTCCCAAATCTTCACGCCTCGTGTATATATCCTTTTCTCTTGCACATTATTGTCCATTGGTCTCTTTGTGACGGCACTGGCTCCCACATTGGCTGTCTTTCTTTTGGGGCGAGCTCTTACGGGATGTGGTGCTGGCGGGCAAATGGTCATCGCCTTCGTCTTGACTCTCGATTTAACGAGCAAGAAGCGCCGAGGTCTCTTCATCGGTCTAATCAGCGCCGGGATGACTACCGGCGTTTCCTCTGGGGCTGTGCTAGCCGGTCTTCTGACGCCGGCTTACGGATGGGTAAGTTACTCTAATAACCACATATAGCGCTCTTTGGAATAACATCAAGGGTATAGCGGATTATCTTCTGGGTCCAAGCACCTCTAGCTCTGATACTGGGCCCGGTACAATACTTGGCGATCCCGAAACGCCCGGAGGATGAGCACCTAAGTGGACGCGCTCTCTGGCGGAGGTTGGCGAAGGTTGACTATGCCGGGGCGTTGACGTTGGTAAGAGCTCGTCTGTCCTTTGTTAACAGACTCTAATCGCTATAGACCATCTCCGTCTTCCTGTTACTTTCAAGCCTCGCTGCGGCGGTAGTCAAGTTCACGCCTATCCTTCTATCACTCGTTTTCTTGGTGATCTTCGTCTTGATTGAATCGAGATTCGCTACCGACCCCATCATCCCGATGGAGGTGCTCAAGAAAAGGAGCGTCTTGCTGAGCTGCTTGGCAGGTGCTATTTGTATGATGGCACGCTGGGCAGTTCTCTTCTACTCGCCAGTCTATGCACTCGTCGTTCGCGATTGGTCTCCTGCCACCGCAGGCTTGATTCTGGTACCAACCAACGCCGGGTTCGGCTTAGGAGGACTCCTAGTCGGATGGATACACATTCGGAAAACGGGCAGCTACTACATGTAAGTGTTTCCATTTATTCCCCGGAGCAGACTGCAGCCCATCTAACTCCACTTCAGCTCCGGTCTCATAGCCTTCTTCCTATTCGCCTTGACAAATCTCGTATTATCCGTTCTCTCCACGCCACACTCTTCCACGGTCGCCTATCTTTTCGCCAGCTTCTTCAATGGACTCTCTGTCGGAGCAGTCATGAACTACACCCTATCCCACTTGCTACATCTCACTGACCCAGACATGCATTATGTTATCAGCGCCTTGCTTGGAATGAGCAGAGGTTTCGCCGGCAGCTTCGGGTCCTCAATTGGCGGGGGTTACTTTCAGCGTGAGTTAAAAAGAGGGCTTGAGACGGGGTTCATGAAGCATGGACTTTCCAATAGAGGTGAGCTGGTTCGTAAACTTCTCGGAAGTCCGGCACTGGCGAAACGCCTGACAGGCGTGGAGAGGGCGGTCGCTGTTCATAGCTACGAACAGGCCGTGAAGACGTTGCTACTGGGTGCTTGTGTCTTGGCCATTGCTGCCGCGGCCGCCCAGGCTGGGACTGGGTGGACGCCGTACAAGGGGAAGAAACCGGAAGATCTTGGGGATTTGGAGGCGACGGCAGAGGAAGAGCAGTGAATGCGGTACACCTACTAGTGTAGTAGACTTACCTCACGTCTTCCAAATAGTCGGACATGTCTTTCTACTAGTCTCTATTTTCCTTCTATTTGACAGCGACTTACAAGCCCATCTATATTCAAGTAGCTATATTGTCGGTGTCCTATCTATAGTAACAGAAACAAGAGCAATGCCTCATTAGGCGGCACAAGCCGTGTTGCTGCCTTGCTGCCTTACCGCCTTTCTGCCTGGCGGAATCTTGGCACACCCGGATCGCCTTGATTCTTCCGGTTGTCGGTCTACATTCCTTCACTCTTCACAAAGCCACACCTCAGCAGCTCCTTTGTGACCTTCAATTCACACCCACAATCACATTACGCCGTACTCAGCCACCCCTACCGATCACCCACCATGCCTCGTGCTGTCAGAGGTATTCTAACCGCCGCAACTCCCACTTCACTCAATAGCTAACCAAAGGTGTAAACAGGAGTCCTCATCGAGTGCGATCCGTCGGTGAAAGCCATCATCCTCAAATACGACGAAGAAAGACACGACTACATCGTCGAAGACCTGGATGATGACCGTCATTTGGTCATCAAGGAGAGTCAGTTGCAGAATCTGAAGGCGAGGTTGACAAAGGTAGGGATACCGGAATGAGCTGTTTGAGGCGTGAGGCTGATGAGAATACAGGAGCTTGATGATAAGGTGATGCAGCCTGATGAGTCGGAATCGGAGTAATTCCCAAAAATTTTCGATGCGATCGCCAGCACCAATGCCCCAATCCTTATCGTGCGGTTTAATAGACTGTGGTGGGACATACACATTATGGGGTTTCGTGGTCGCGAATTTGCAGTCACCAATTGCAGGGGTTGGGCCCCTTAAAATGCATTATTCTGTGTTTCAATGGTCTTGATGCTGGGTCGGCTGCGCTTGGTCCTAAGTTTTGGGCTGGCGCTCCTTCCTTGCTAAGCCATTTCGCAGCGCCTACTCTGGGATTCGCAACAGTCAGGCAACACCTCAGCAGCTCTTAGACTTTGCTGAGTCGTTGGAAGAGTTCACCCTACCACATTTGCGACAACCTACATTCTTATCAAAGGTCTTGCTTGCACAGTCTTTACCCCTCACACTTGGTTGCAGAGGCCTCCCTAATATGACAACATGGATAAGACCAGAATTGGCTACGTGGATTGCAGGGGCCAACCCGGGAAATTCTCCCAGGAACCAGTCGGTACCCCTAAGCGCATCAAGCCTGCATTCGATATACGGTTTTTCAAGGACGTGTACTATCTGGATGGAGAACTTGCCGGTGCTATACCAACCTCAATCGAGCTCAATATCATTGATCAGCGGACTTTGGTGGTCTGCGGCACAATGGAGCGCGCATACCCTAATGACTCTCGAGTTCCCCCGTCGGAACTAGCAACGCTTGAAAAGGTTATGGACGCTGTGCTGCAGCACATATCATTAGATGCAATAAAAAAGGACCGCGAAAATCCACAAGACGAGACGACTGGAATCGGAGACGATACTCCTTCCAGTGAAGATGCTCAGGTGTCCTCGGACGGACAAAGCGGTACAGATCTCGAAGTAATGTCGAAACCAGCTTTTCCGCGAGAGAAAAGTCGCCAGGGCGAGGGGAGTCGACAGAAACCGCGTGTCTACACAATCCCGCAACTTCGAGGACAAGACAAAGGCAAGGGCCCAGCCAAAGGGATTCTGCGGAAGCCAGGAAGTAAAAACGACGAGCCTGAGAGTGACGATGATCTGCAGAGTCAAACAGACTTCGATGAGCGGAGAAACTCCTACGATTACTCTGGTGAACACCCGGATCCCTCAAAGACCTGGGTCTGGCTGTTGGCCGAGCGAAAGGTCGGCCGGTTCTTTCGCTCCTTTCGCTTTAAGAGACCGATCAACTGGAATGCCGCGCAAGGCCTCTTTATGGGTGGTCTTCTTCTGCTGAAGCTTCCGGCAATTGTGGTGCCGAAGAGACGCGTTCGTTTCGAGCGGGTTTGTGATTAGGATAATACTATTTCGTGCTATGTTGTAAACGGGCTATGGAGCTACGGATTCAGGGTTGTCTTCGACATTCTTCTTCAATGGATATATTCTTCAGAGAGTAGATAGACAGCCATCAAATAACAAAGTATACTGATTCCATTTGTTGGAGTTGAACTTACACAAGCATGCAATTTGCTCGTAGAAGATAACTCTAAAGACCGACCCAAAATTATCCAAACGCTCCAATGCATATTCTATCCCTATAAATGCAAATCTAGTCGAAGCTAGTATACAAAACACCCAACACCCAGCCAGCCCATACCAAATATGATACTAGAAGCGAAGAATGCACCATCCCAGAAGACAAAAATAGAAAAGGAAAATGAAACAGAACACAAACCTGACCACTACCACCTCTTATCATCAAACCCACCCACAAAAGAAACCCATCTAAACATCCACCACCCCCTTCTTCTTCCTCTGAAACATGGGATAATTCAACGCATCCCACCTCCCATGAAACCCCACCCCAGGATGCCCCCAACTACTCATCGCAATCACCGCAATACTAATCATCGCCCCCTCCAACACCATAAACGTCGTCTGATCATTCGCCAAATGGCTACTAAACCCTCCGCACAGCTCCGCGACCCGGAAACAGCTCCGGATGTATATACACACGACGGCTAACCCCTGGCAGAATAGGAACGCTTTCCAGCGTTTACTTGCCCGAAGGCTAGCGAAGTCTGGGTTTAGGGTGACCAAGTCTCGTGAGGGGGAGACGAGGTCCTGGCTTTCGGATTCGTGCTTGCTGTGGTTTGCCATGCGGAACATGTTTGATGTTGATGATGGAGGGGATGGGTTGCGTGCGCTGAGGCGGTAGATCCGGAAGGCGTAGTCGAGACAGATCACGATGTAGAGGGTTAGGGAGGCTACTTGTGAGCTGAGACCGGCTATCATGATGTTGATTCCGTCTTGGACTTCGGAGGCGGAATCTGAGGTCGTGATGGCACCGCCGGCGGCTTGAAGGAGGAGCGAGATGATGTCGAAGCTGATGAAGATTAGGGAGTAGTTGCGCTGTTTTATCCGGGAGAGTTGCGGCGTGTAGGCGCCGACGATCCGGGCTAGGGAGACGTAGATGGCGCCGCTGAGGAAGGCGGGGGCGATGGTGAGGCAGACGAGGTACCTGGTTGAGAGGTTAGTTGGTTGTGGGAGGTAGTGGTTGGGGGGTAAGTACATGATGAACCACCGGTCAATGAATGGGTTGTGTCGCATGTAGATGCGCCCTATGTAGCCCAGTACTTCGAGGATGAGACCGCAGATGGCGCCGAAGAGGTAGCCCCAGGTGCGGTGTCGGATGCCGAGGTAAAGTTGGACGGGGATGAAGAGAGCGAATAGAGTGATGTAAAAGGCATTGCCACCTAGGTTGGGGAGATAGGTGATGTGGGCGTAGGACATAGGACATGTTTCCAGAGTACATTGTTGACTGCTGGTGATCCACGGCGCGGGGGCCGTGACGGTGGTCATGATGGTGACTTCTTCGTAGTCGGAAGGTATGGCTAGTATTGAAATAAGCTAATTGAGTGCCAGAATCAAGCTGTTCTGGCACTATTGTATCGCTGCGACAGTATCTGCTCCTGGATGTGCGTGGGTGGTGTTCGTCTAATGCGCCATGTAGTTCGCAGTAGTATATAGTAGCAATAGTATGCCACCAATAAAGGAGTAATTTCAATGGGAAGAAGCACGACGGAGGAAAAAAGACAGCTTATTAAATGAGACAGCAGCCATTTGGCTGCCTGTCGTCAATCGGACAGCGCAGATCGAGGCGCATCATTTGTGCTCGTTTGGTGTAAATGTAGGGACTTGGTAGGGCCTCGATCGGAAGCTCAAAAAGAGCATATTTACGCAGCAGCGAACCGGCTCACTGCAAGTGGAGATGCCGGCGTCAAGCCCAAGAAATGGTGGATGCTGCTGTTTTTACGCACCGACCAATCAAAATTCACTGCCATCTGGCACCGCTGACAAAGCACCTCACCTGCTGGCAGCGACGCGTGACTGCCTGATTCGGAATGCCATACTTACTACTTACTCCCTCGCTGGTTGAATCTGACTCCGCCACGCTCTTGACCCCCCGTACTTAGGGACAATGAGCGCCGCTTTTCTGCTTCTGCCTTCCGTATCACATCAGCAGTAGTAGGCTGTCAGATTCTGCTGCATCACCTTGTCATTTCATGATGATCCGGATGCCGTTCCGTGGACCGGCATATACGCGGTTGGCACTGTGGTCGCAATGTTTGCTACCGGCTCTCCCGAGTCTCTCACTAAGCTAGGCAGAAGTTAAAGTGCACACTGATAGCTTAGAACCTACTTGTCTATTTGCTACATCAAAGCACCTTGATTCACCATTGACCGATGGTTCTGGGTTTGACCAGACAACCTCCGAGTTCCGACTTCGGCCAGGTACAACCCAAAAATCGCTGCTGCAGCTACAGTTTCACTCAACTAAGACAAGGAGCTCATGTCGCTGCAAATACCTTCTCAGTATATTTCCAAACCCATCATCAATAAACCTGCAGGATTGAAATCACTGCCTCACATCAATAAGCCGATCTGCCCTACGTTTCGTGTAAAATCGGAGACAGTCAAACTACAATAACGCATGCGACACACATGTTGCCAAATTCTACAATCATGAGAATACCCCTGTAGTCAAAAACGAGATTCGCAAACTCATTCATCTCTATCCACCGTGACTGCATCGGGCACAATAATGCCATATCGCTTATGTTAGACAGTTACAGTGATTTTCGTTTGACCAAGATGGGTGGAGTTTCATCTACTGCTAATCAAGAATTTTCATCGTATGATTACATCCATTAGAGTCTGCCTATCTACAAATCTCCGAGAAAACCAGTCAAAATCCACCGTCAAACGCCAAATACACAATATGACCAACACGATACAAGTACTCGCAAAACAACAGTAGTCGAAAGGGGAAAAAGACTATATACAGGAACCCGAGCACGTCACTCACTCCATACCATCCCCGAGACGACTGGCAATCTCCAGCAGTGACTCCTTAACCTTGACCTGCCACTCGAGAAGCTGCTTCTGCCGTGCCATGCGCGTGTTATAAACGAACTTGATCTGCAGGGAGTCTCCGATTACGATGGCCTGGGTCTCAACCAGCGCGGTACGCAGAAGACCGGACCCAGATCCTGTCGCCTTTGGCTTGTTCACGTCCACATAGCGAAGCACAGAATCGTCGCGCTCCAGCTGTTGATACTGACCAAGATAGTTCATAGACAACTCAAACGGACTGTGGTGCTCAAAAGCGGCATGGCCATCGTCGGTTAGCCAGCGGGTTGCCCAGTAAGGAACCCCGTTGCCCGGCACACTGGCGCGCACATCTCGCACAGCCTGCAAGTCGTCGACAATATCACCAGAGGGTTTGATTACTACCGGAGTGGAGGAGGTAAACCATCCAATAGTGTTGGAGACATCAAGATCTCCGCCAAACTCATCCCGACCATGGCTGTAGATAAAGACCGCGGGTACCGGACGGTCACTGAACGTCGCGCTGAAGGCGTGGAAGATCGCTGACAGGAAGATGTCGAGCGGTTTAGTCTGATACTGATGGTTGCATTTTCCCATCAAGCGAGCGGTTGTCTTGGTGTCTAGGGAAAACTCCTGGATAGTTTCGGTCACGAAAAGGTTCATAGATTCTTCCATTTGCCAATAGTCGTATAGGGGAGCAGGGACCGAGAAAGGCAGCGCGTATTCGGGTGTCCATTTCTCATCGGCATGCTCCTTGAGCTTACGGCACCACAAGGCAAAGGAGTCTGAACGGTGGGAGGTGATTGCCCCAGTGGATAAGCCTTGTTGCATATCTTGGAGGAGAATGCGCCATGAAACGGTGTCGATGATCATGTGGTGTACAGTAAGTCCAACATACCGGTCTCCATTCGGAAGCTTGAAGACTATGGCACGCATCAAAGGACCACGCTGCAAATCGAAGCCCGACTGGTTGGGCGCAGTGTATGGTTCGATAGCTTTCAAGTCAGGCACTTCCATCTCCTGGTACATATGACTATTGGACCGGTCCAGAGGGATATATTGCATCCAGCGACCCGATTCATCGCGCTGGAACCGAGCACGGAGCATGGGATGACGCTCTACCGTTGCAGCCACCACCGGCTCTAGGTCGGAATCAGAATGGACCGATAACAAGAATGTAGTGTTGTATCGATTGAGATCGCAGTGCTGTTTCAGGTCGAACTCCCAAGTCTGCTGAGGAGAGAGATTAAATGGAACACCGATATCGTCTTCCATTGGCTCATCATCTTCATCCAGAGGTCGCACTCTCAGTGCTAATTCGGCGATAGTAGGACATTGAATGAGATCTTTGACTGCGAGCGATAGCCTGGCATCACGACACTGAGCGATAACCTGCATAGCTGAGATGGAATCACCACCAAGGCTCTGGAAGGATCGCTCCATACTGATGCTTTCTTCAGGTCGGTTCAGCACGGAGGCCCAAATACGTCTCAGCTCAACTTCGGCAGGTGTACTTGGGCCGCGGCCGCTGGCTTTGGATCCTACGTTGGCAATCTGCTCATATGTGGCATCGTCCAGGGTCTCGACCCAGCGCCGAACCTTCTTCCGGTCCAGCTTTCCGGAAGGCAACAAGGGGATCGCGTTCACTGGTACCCACAGGGCCGGAACCATGTAAACCGGAAGGGCTGCAGATATGGTGTTAGCGATTCTGGTCACGACCGCCATAACTTCAGGTCGCCTGTTCTCTGGCACGAGAGACATTCGTCCGTCCTCGGCAGGAAGATCAAAACCCTTGAAAGAAACCACAGCCAAAAGCTGCTTCTTGAACGGGCCCTGAGATGGGAGCAAAGTCATTGCATGGTGGATAGTCTCATCGCGCTCGATATTGTACTCGATCTCGCCCAATTCAACACGCTGGCCGCGAATCTTGACCTGCCCATCGGCTCTGCCGATGAAATGAATCGTGCCATCTGCATTGTATCGCACAAGATCACCAGTGCGGTAATACCGCTCCAGCTTCCGAGATCCATGAACAAAGCTCTTTTGTTCGACAAAGGCAGCAGCTGTTTTTTCAGGGTCTCCCAGGTAGCCTCTCGCCAGAATTGGTCCTGAGATCAAGAGCTCTCCAACAGCACCAATGGGGAGTAGCCTTGAAGGCTGCTTGGCATCAACAACCCAGAGGACGCCACCAACTGCGTGTCCAATATTGGCTGGATCGGTAGTAGGTTGCAGCCCTGGGTTAGCTGCTGCTGCCACAGAGCACTCACTGGGTCCGTATCCATTGTACAGCTGTACCCTGTCAGCCCAGTTGAGAATATCACCCTTTGAAAGAGCTTCGCCGCCAAGTATCAACGTTTTCAGTGAGGGCACATCGGATGGCTGTAAGAGTTTAAGAACAGATGGAGTAAGGAAAGTCCAGTTGATATTGAGCACATTAATGCAGTGCTTGATATCCTTGCTCAAATCTTCGTCTGGCACGCATATGCATGCACCGAACATGAGTGATGTCATGATCTCTAGGAGACTAACGTCGAAGCTGTAGGAGGCAAACTGCAGCACTCGAGATGAGGGACCCAGGCAGGCAAGCTTTCCTTGAGCCAGCGCTCCAGAGCAGAAAGCAGCATGTTGCACAACACATCCCTTAGGCTTCCCTGTGCTGCCAGAAGTGAAGATGACGTAGGCGTCATCATTGGGGCGGGCTCTCACGACACCTTGGTTGAGATCATCTCCTTCGTGCTTTAACTTGTCGAGGAGAGCTTGATCAACACTGACAATCGTTGGAACCAGATTGTCCCAATTCGAAGCGTATTTTGGAGATGCCAGCACAACATTGGCTGCAGTTTGAATAGAAGCCTCGCGGAGGCGCTCCACCGGGGTTTTAGGATCGAGCGGAACGAATGCAGCTCCAGTACCCAGAACAGCAAGCATGGCAACGATAGCCCATGCTGACTTTTCGAATGTCAGCGGCACGTAATCTCCGGCGCCAATGCCAAGAGTCGTCAAGTATTGAGACAGAGATAACCACATTCGTCCAAACTCCTTATAAGTTATCTTTTCAGCCAGATTGTCAATAGCAATAGCATGAGGTGTGCGCATAGTCTGTTGAAGCACGAGGTATGGAACTGTAGAAGATGCCGTTTCTGGCACATTCTGGTTCCAAGATGCAATTTGCGACAGATCATACCGGCCGATAACACTGAGCTGATCAACTCGGGCCTCAGGGTTCTCAATCACGGACTTGAGAATGGCAGAGAATGTTCCCGAGATGGACTGAGCTTGGGATTCCGAGATACTGTCAGTCCAGTATCCGAGTTTGATGTCCAGGTTGCTCGGCGAATCGATAACGTGAACTGTAATATTGTACTACACCAGGTTAATTATTGCAAATTGTTATCAAGTGAAATCATACCTCTGTCGGCTCTCGTACGACGAGTCCCTTGAAGTCAATATCAGTCACAATTTCGTCGCTG